GTATGTATGTGTCGTATGTATGAATCATACGCACGGTCTGATATCCTACGGACAACAGTAAAAATGAGCTAAATTTTTCTACTAGCATTTGCACGGGAATTGCCAATAACTTGCCAGTACGGGACTTACCATTAATAGCTCTAGTACCTATGGTCTCTAGCATGTGGTACTACTACGAGTTGCAGTAAACGGCAATAGAATGCATGAACTGTAGTAAATAAAAAGCCTACCATGCCCTACGGTACATGGGAAAAAGTAATTGTACTCCAGGCAACTCAAGTAGTAACCGATGAATTTACCTCTCCAGTAGTAAGCTTAATGGAAAGGAATGAATTTACCTTTCCAGTAGTAAGGACCATTAATAGAAATATTAAAGGACTAGTTTTTGTGTTTGGAGGGGGGGGGAGAGGGGAAATGGAGAAATGAGAATGAAAAAAAATCGAATTATTGTCGAACGAAACGTCAGAAGGGAAGATTTAGTGCTTCTGACTTGACAGTTTACTATTGCTCCTTCATAATTTAGTAGATTCTTTACACTTAAAATAACTATAAGCCCTGTACAATAAGTTCAATGTCCGCTACGAAGGAATTGCCATAGCTTACTCATAAATAGATTATCGACGAAGGATTTTCACGGACATCAATGCATGAAAGGGCTCTGTTCTGTTCTTTTTTTTAATGTTTGTACATGTGAGTTTCATCGTAACTTATTATGACGGAGGTGTCATTTTGTATTCCCTTCTCCCACCGCAAAGGCATCGCCCTCTCATTGCATCGTTACAACAAACGGTTTGAATTGAATCTCTTTCGACTTATTCTTACTCAAAGTCAATTTAAGAAACTCACCAAAACGACCATTTCGAGGTAGCTATCAATTTTCATTGAATCTTAGCAAGACCTTCGACATGTTTGGTTGGATCAATGATTGTACAGAGTGCTTGGTCTTGACCAAGTTTGGTGAAGAAACCTGGCAGCAGATCAAAGAAAAGGCTGGCTGCGAAGTCGAGGACGGTGGATTCTTGCGATACAAGTATTATCCCGACAGTGATACTGTGCAGTTAGTAGTCGCCGCCTCAGAAGTGTTGGGGATAGAAGTTGACGATGTTCTCTTTGCCTTCGGTGACTATTTCATCGATTATGTCCAAGAGAATGGATATTCCAACGTTCTGAAGTGTCTAGGCTCTAATTTACGCGATTGGCTGTCCAATTTGAACTCGCTGCATGATCATTTACAGGCATCTTACCCGAAGGGTTTTGTGGCTCCTGTCTTCTGGAGTGAAGATGACGAAGCATCGAGCAAATGCGCCATCCTTGTACACTATTACTCGCATCGTGGCTCCCTCCTTGTTCCTCTCGTGGTAGGAATAATCAAGAAAGTTGCTCGAGTTTATTTTGATATCGAGATTGAAATGGATCAATTGCAATTACAGGACGAAAACGAAGCCAAACATACTTCTTGGCGCATCACAACGGTAGATCCCCTCAAAACTGCAATATTGCGTGGGGAAAAAATACGCACTAGCGCCGAAAAACGTAGAGGACACGAAACATTTGATGGGGAAGAAACAATCAGTACATCCACAAGTACAGCTTCTCAAAATCGATACTTGAATGCATTCAGAACAGGAGGTAATGTAGCTTCTGATCTAAGAGCAGAGGAATTCGTTAAACGCCACTTCTACAACGCTAGCTGTGAGCTTTACCATGCATTGACGTTGGAACAGTACATATATTTATCGAAGTACTGGAAAGTCAATGAAAACGAAGAGGAAAAATTTTGTTACGAAGTTTGGTCCCTACAAGACGACGATCCGAGCACTTGGGCATCGCTCGAGGATTTACCATCCAAGTTGCTCCCCGAAATGATCACCAAGAACAAATATTTTGGAGGTATGGTTCCAAAAACAGGAAAATATCCTCCGGGCGAAGATGGCAAACCTCAATCAGTTCCACCACTTATTTCTGTGGTGAATGGTATCACCGGAAAATCAAAGAATCTTGTGGTAAAAAAGGATGAATCATTGTCACTTGAAGACGGAATTTATAATCATCCGGATATGGAAGGGGCTGGAGTCAAAGAGTTTCCTCCTGGTTGGCAACAACGCATAGTTGCTGGAGAAGTTGAAATCCAATGCGATGTTTGGAACGAAGAAACGGACGACTCGTACCACTCCTTCTCACTGGAAGATCTAAAGACTGCGTCAACTAAGCAACTGTACGACTTGGTCCCCATGTCTCCTGATCCCATTAAAATTGTTTTGCAATGTCAGGAGGCTGTTGAAGTTGATGAGGAATGGGAAGATATTTAAGAATATATGGCAAATCGGATGAAGAGAAAGCAATTTTTGACTCGACAATCTCGAAAGAGATGGTGTTATGAGTGCCTGAGAGAATATGGCTCGAAAGTAAAATGCAATTGGTATTCGATTTTTGGTACTTGTTTGATACGAGTTGTAATTTTTTATTATAAGTATACATTATGATTATGACACACCAACGATCGAGAAAGTAAGCATAGTTTTAATAATAGAAAGACAAGGACGATTAAAGGTTGGCATTGGTTGGATTCTAAACCACAAAAATGGAAGAGGAAAAAGTGAAGCCGAAATCTATGGTTAACATTCAAATAATTGCTATTTCCCATCTGTAGCACTAATAGCTGTCTACTTGGTATCACTGTACGCAAAGTGGACCTTTTCCGCTAGCAGTATTCCCATATCACATGTTTCGTTGAAGGCCCAGTGGCTGTTCTTGACGACGAATGATCATCCAGGGGTGGGCCCGTACCTGTTCTAAACTCAGTCGATCCTTCGGATCTAAAAAGAGCATCCGTTGCAACAAGTCCATTGCATCGCTGGTCAATCCGATATCCCACTCGGTCAGCATTTGAACTAGGTATCCGGCCGTCATATAATGAAATCGTTCGTCCGTGTGACAAGCACGTTCCCAAGGAGGGAAACCCGTCAACATTAGAAACAGTATAACACCCGCAGCCCACATATCTACAGCAAAGCCATCAAATGGTTCTTCATTCCGGCATATTTCGGGAGCCATATATATCCATTTCCCGCATGTTCCTTGCGGTCGAATCAGACTGCGCCGTCGAAGCCTTCCAGGTAATGTAGATTGGTTCAGTTTTGATTCTCCGTTCATCTTCATATTTCCTAAAGGTGCCGCGAGGCTACTTGGATCCTCGTCACAAAAGGGTACCAATAGGCACATTCCCATGTCAATGATCAAGGCTCCATCTTTGTGGACCAGTAGATTTTCTAAACTCATATCACGGTGACATATACCAACTTTTTGTAAAGTATCCAAACCCTGGACGCAAAAGTGCAACAGATAATATGAGAGAACATAGAAAACACGTTTTGTATAGATACCTTTCACCGATGGCAGTGGTAAATTATCCGATTGCATGCGAAAAAGGGAACGCGACCATAGATGACGCATTCAGTGCCAAGCAAGTTACTGTTCCGTATGGGAAGATTCCTTCTCTTATATCGGACTTACGTTGAGCACCTGATGCATCCAATACCGCGCCTCGTCCTCGGAAAAGCGTTCGTTGAGATCTAACCGTTCGAAGAGTTCGCCCCCGTCGCAATAAGGCATTATACTATACAAATTCCGTTCGTCCAACAGCAAGTCGAGAGGCATCATGATGTTAGTATCTCTCATCGCAAAAAAGGATTGAGTTACGTCGGCATGACTATTGTTGTCGGCTTGTTGCAAGGGAGGTATCACCATGTGGTCGTGGTGTAATTGATGAAGTTGATGTTGTTGTATGCTACACTGCTGCGAATATCGCCACCACCGATTTAAATATTGCATTGATGCTACTTCCTTTATCGGATCCTCTGCCAATCGGTCTTTTTCTCGACGGATGTGCTCTAACGACATTTCTTTGACGGCACAATGATCCCGTGTCACCTCCCATTCGGCCCCATCTGACAGTACGAGGGATCTCGGTCGTCGTTTGAGAATAACGGCAAATAGAACCCGGCCGTATATTGCTTCACGAATCGTTCTTTGAATCCAGTATGCGTGTTTAATTTCATTGGCGTCGTTTTGTATATKGGGCGACCACGACGAAGAATCGACGCTATCGTCGTCGAGAGCCATGCTGTCGTCATCGGATGATGATTGCGAAGAAGAAGAATCCGAAGACATGTTCCCACCCGCAAGACCGCCATCGCATTTGATATTATTGTTGTTGTTGCCGAGAGATCCCAATCCGACTGGACAATTCATGGTCCGTATCAGCACATCTCGTACAATGGAAACTTGATTGCGGGTCGGGTGAAAGACTCGAGTAGTTATTTTGGCACACGGTATGGGCTCTGCCGGTGGAAATTGGGGAGGATCTCGCGGAATGTTCTCGGTCTGGTTGTATGTAGAAGGGGAAGATGCCGTCGCTGCCGTGAGGCCTGGATAGTCGGAATTATATGAAAACTGCATCTGGACTCCGTCTTATTGTTCCGTAAGTCAAAAATCGTGGTGAACTTGAAGTTCTGTATGAATTACACCGTTTCCTCTCACACCATCACACTTCCAAACTCTCTCCTCGCGAACGAGAAACGAGAAACGAGAAATTATCCGCTGGCTTCGCGACGAATATCGTTACCGGCAGCCCGATTTCCAGCGATGTCGTTGTAACTGCCTTTTAGTCTAGTTGTGAAGATTCCGAGTGCTGTGGTTTGCCAAGAGCTTGTGCTTCAATGTTCTCACAAAAGTACAATCGTATTGAATCAGATCTCGCCTCTTCCTGTGCAGGTAGTCCAAGGTCGTTGCGTACCTGGTATCGTACTGGAGTATTCCCTACCGGTATGTGAAACACTACAGTACATGCACAATATTGTATCGCCATGTACCTACCGTACTGTACCGTCCGGTACCTGTATTGTACTGTTGTACTCGTGGAAAACAGAAAACTCAATTTTGGGGATACTGTACCGTACCTATGTCTGGGGTCATCTATGTATCGCACAACACGCTATCGTAACCATCTGCTGGTGAACACAACTTCTGGTTGAACAAGGGAATCTGTTACAATACCGTACAGTAAGGGTAGTGTTGCAAGTGTGCTACGGGTACAAAGCTTTTTAAGGCTCACGTTGACAGAAAGTAGTTCTGTACTTTTTAGTACAGTAGTACTCGTAGTAGCAGAACCGTACGCACCGGATTCGTTGTATCGAACTAAAAACAAATATTGTGATAAAGTACGTACGAACGAGAACATACTAATAAATACTGTACGTACGTACCCACAGTTGTTCATTTTGACCAAAAACGGCATTTTACGTCGATTTTGGCATTAATTTAGAGTTAGGGATAATACTAATATTTCGGTAAGAATCCAGCAATGTGATTGGCTGATAATGAGGATTGAGATTTTATTCACGTGTCAGAAGAGGAATTGTTTGGTTTTGACTAATTTGATTGAATCATAGAATTTCATTCCCAAGTGAAGATAGATCAAATTTTCCAGTTTGACTAGTTTGAATAAATTTTGAATATGTTTTTGACAATTTTGAATAAGATTGATCTGAACTCTAAATTAATGCCATAATCACTCTAAAAAGCCACCAGACAACTAGGCGCCCAGTCCAAGAAGTTAATACAATTACCTTAAGGATGGTGTCATTGGGAAGCCAAAGGATGCTCTACTAGGAGAGGCTTAGTAGAACTACTACTAGTCTGTCAAAGTCATACTAGTAGTGGATGCCCAAATTTTGCATTAATTTTGGCTGTAATTTTACTCCGATTAAACTTGTACCCAAAGATAGGGTGCAAACTGCAAACATCTCCTTTACTCTCTCTGACCGTATTAATATACTGTACCTTTTTCTTTCTTTGTCCTTTTCAATGCAATACTAGTAGTAGTTGTAGGAATGTTGACATATACTACCAAAATCACTAAAAGCAGCCAGCAGAAGGACAATCAGCAGCACCACCACCAGTAACTTACAATCTGACAATATCTAGTTATTTTCAAAGTCATGCAAATACGCAAGGTAAATAACAGGCAAGCAAGGAGAGTAGAAACACCGCCGCAAAACATGAAGCGCTGGAAGACTTTCTGAAACAAGTTTCTGTTGATGATGCAAGCCAGGCTGCTGAATACAATCAGCCACTTTTGTGAGCGCTGCCGATGATGCAAGTACTGCGGGTAAACGTGAACCGAAACAAGTTCCCCTGATACTTATAGTGCTAGTGACATGAAGACTGCTTATGCAAGTGCCACTGATTTATTGCGCACGAAAAAATTGTGCAAAGCCGTTGACAAACTTTATCAAAGAGGTCAATAGCTACAACATTTCAAACTATTTGGGAGAAAGATTCCGCCTTTCCGTGAGCAGCTGTATCTCCCTGGAGTTCTCTAGTGCTCTTATTGGTGCTGTCCTCGTTCGATGACAGTTCGTGTGTGCTGCGGCTGTCTACTACGTGTGCTTCCGKGGTCGTCGGAAGAATCGATGGTCCTTGCACTTGGTCTTTCAAGGAAACAGCGAAATTCCCAAGTGCCTTGCCAGTTGTTTCTGGCAAGGACTTGACAACCATCGAGGTCAAAATGCTTACGAAAAACATCACCAAGCCTATCGTTCGAAGCGAGGTGTCTCGCGATATGACAAACGGACAGGTGATGCCACCAATGCGCCCGAGCGCGTTTGCTGACGAGCAAGCAATCGAGGGAAAAAACGAACGCGAAGAGAAGAGAAGGCAAGGATCTTTGTTGTGAGACAGTCTGCGTGGAGATCTTGGTAAAAAAACTACGCATTCACAACGCAACGAATGGCCTTACCGAGTCCGTGCCCCGTTGCTCGGATTTCCGTTGGCAGGAGTTCGGCAGTGTGCAACCAGGTGACGCTGGTGGCGGTCATAACGAACATTCGAGAGAGGAAGGCAAAACCTATCAAGAGCCATCGCCTAGAGACATCGTTTTCTCCCTCTTCAAAACCCCCCTTCTCGTTGCCTCCGCCGACAAAATAGTCCAGTAGACTCAGGAGCAAAAGGCAGAATCCCCCTAGCGAGTATGCCCATGCCTGCGTAGAAACTCGCCCCATTCTATTGACACATTTTATTGCGAGAGTCAACCCAATCATCTCTGCAAACGACGTGATGCAAAGAGCTTGGTAGTCAAAGTCGAAGCCTCCGCCTGTATCGTCCGCGTTGCTGTCGCCGTCATCGTTGTCGTTGGCGCTGCCGTAGTGGGTGCTGGAAAAGACAATGGAAACTGCTATTATTGCGCCATAATACATAAAGGCCAAGCCGTACCACTGCCCTCCCAAGAGGAGGCTGATCTTTCGCCACTGCGGGCTCGAGCACAAGACCCAGCGGCAACCGCTTTCGGGAACCATCGAAACATTAGTGCAGTCGTTCGGTTCCGCGCTCCCGGCGAACTCCCGCCGTTCCTCCTCTCGGTCCGGGGCGTCTCCTTGGTTGGATCGCGCTGCGTTCTGCCGCGGGTGGTGATCCACGGCGCGGTGCTGTGGCAGCGGCGAGCACGCATCGCGGGCGGTTCGAGCGGAAGGGAGGCGGTGGTCGGCCAGCCGCGTGTGCTCCGGAAAGGAACCGTAGGGGTCCCTGCCGTTCCTGGCCGCGGCCCGCCGGAGGACCGCCAGGGCCTGGTCGTGCTTGCCCCTGGTGAGCAGCCAGCGCGGCGACTCGGGGACCCAGAGGAGGCTCAGCACGGTGGACAGGACACCGGGCAGCGCGCACACGACGACAAAGGCCCTCCAGGAGCCTCCCCCGGGGGACTCTTGCGTCGATCCGTCGCCGTCCGGGTGGTCGGGGGTTCGGAGCGTCAGCCACGCAAACAGGGGGACCGCCAGGGAACTTGCTGTCCAGAAGAAGCTCGTGCACAGCATGTTGGGGCCCCGAAAGGTGTTCGGCATGAATTCCCCGAGGGCGTCGTAGGGAACGGTGAGGCCCCCGACGCCGACCCCCACCAGGAATCGCACCACCAGGACCTGGGAATACGACGTGCAAAAGGCGGTGAGGATCCCAAACCCGCTGATCGTGGCGGCCACCACGAAAAAGACCGGCTTTCTCCCCCACCGGTCCCCGAGCGGGGTCAAAACGAGGGATCCCAGCAGGGCCCCGGCAAAGACGACCGAGACGATGGAATCGGCCTCGGCCTCCGACAACCCCCATTCGCCCTGCAGGATCACCGTCAGAAAGCTCAGGAGCAGGATTTCCATGGCGTCCGAGGCGAAGCAGAGTCCGCACGCCAGCACTACCTGGTACTGGAACATTCCCATCCCCAGCCGATCGATGGCTTCCTCGATATCGACCACGGCGAAGGAGTCGTGGCCATCGACGATGCCACCGTCGTCAAGGGCATTGTCGTTGATGTCCCGAATTTTGCTCTCTTCACAACTAGGGTAGGTTCGAGGTCCGATGCTGGCCGCCGCGTTCCTAGCTCGAGACGACAATGCTATCGATGAGTACTCGTGACACCCGCCAGCTTTCCTCAACGCGTTCATCGTTGGCGCGAAAGGGGTCGAGCTTGTCGCTTTCGCTGTCGTTGCAATAGCGGTTACAGTTGCGGTTGTCAGCAGAGGTGATTGCTCGTCATTTCGCCATTCCTTCATGCGTTTCGTGCGTGGTGGTTTGTTTTGTGTCGACTACAGCAAACAACAACGTCGAACGAAATCCAGATGATTTGGTAGTCGAATTGTTGTCGTTCTTCGGATACAGTAACGAGCACGAGAAACTCGTAGCGCGGTATGGTATGTTATGTTACTGCAGTCGTGAGGCATTCCTGTTGGAGGGAAAGCACACGGCTCACATGTTCTTGATTCTTGATTCTTGATGAATTTATGGTTCATATGATTAACAGATACATTACATATGTAGTATCAGTATACTTTAAATGTACTTCACAGTACGAGTACGAGTACTGGTACATACTTAAATAAGTACCGTACCATACCGGGCGGTACGGTACGTACCTTCCGCATTCCGCACTATGACTGATAGACTGATCGACTGATAGGCAGGGGTCATGCTGATACGGTAGGTACGTACGATACGAACGCCCTTCATACCATCAAAAGAAGCGCGCGCGACTTCTAAACACCATTGAAAATGTCGCGGTCTGGTGATCAAAAATCCATCTCTCGTCGACTACGAGGTCGATCTATCATCAAAATCCTCTTGCAAAACCTCTTCGATTCGATTCTTCTTGATGCCAAAACTAAAATTCCGTTTTGTGTGTTGCAACAGCGACAGAGAGGACGCGCTCCCGTACACCGCCCCGCCCCCCCCCCCAACACCCATTGTTACGCCTTCATTGAACGAGCCATAGATAGATAGACAACCATGAAGATAGAAACCGTATCATCTTCGGCCAACGGATCTGCTGCTGCCGGCAGCCGAATATCCGCCCACACCCACATCTCGGGTCTGGGATTGGACGAGAACGGAGACGCCATCGTGCCGATGGCGGAAGACGCGCAAGGAAGCGGAGCCGTGGCTGTAAACACATCGGGTCTCATCGGCCAGGTTGCGGCACGAGAGGCGCTGGGTGTCGTTTCGGATCTGGTTCATTCCCAGCGGCTGGCCGGACGGGCGTTGTTGCTGGTGGGCCCACCCGGTACGTAACAAACGCATCGCACGCTGCCGGATCGGCAGGACTCTCCAGAACGCTAACGCCGATGCTTGCTTTGAAAAAACGAGGCATATCGAAACCCAACAAAAAGAGGGATCTATGCACAGAACGAAACTGACCCACCTTGTTTTTGTACCGATTTGCCAAATGGCGGGTGATTGATMCACATCCACATCCACGACAACGAACACCGCGCCTGGATCAGGCACCGGCAAGACGGCACTGGCCATGGCTTTGGCCCAAGAAGTCGGTTCGAATCAATCGAACAAGCTTCCGTTCTGCCACATGGTAGCCTCCCAAGTATTTTCACGAGAGGTGAAGAAAACCGAGGTCATCATGGAGCACTTCCGAAAGGCCATCGGGTTGCGGATCCAGGAACGGAAGGAAGTTTACGAGGGGGAGGTGACCGAACTGGTACGCAACGCAACGCAACGCACGGCAACAGGCCATGCTGGCAATCCAGTGCTCTCCGTGTTTGCGATTTATAATGCGCGGGTCTGGTCTTGCTCAACAACAAATTTCGTTCTGCCTTTCATTCGTTTTGTCGCTGGTTCTTTCGTTCCAACAACACAGACCGTCGAAGAAACGGAAGATCCGCTGGGAGGATACGGCCGAACCATTTCGCACGTCATACTGGGCCTGAAAACGGCAAAGGGGAGCAAGACGCTCAAGCTCGATCCCACGATTCACGACTCGTTGTCCAAGGAGGGGGTAGCCGTGGGCGACGTGATCTACATCGAGGCCAACAGCGGAGCCGTCAAGCGGGTGGGGCGGTCCGATTCGTTTGCCACCGAGTTCGATCTCGAGGCCGAGGAATACGTGCCGATTCCGAAGGGCGACGTCCACAAGCAAAAGACGGTGATCCAGGACGTGACGCTGCACGACCTGGACATGGCCAACGCCCATCCGTCCTCCGGCGGGGGTTCTTCCAGCCAGCGGGACGTGCTGGGGCTCCTGCGGAGCATGGGAAAGCCAAAAAAGACGGAGATCACCGACAAGCTGCGGGCCGAGATCAACAAGATCGTCGAGCAGTACATCAACCAGGGGATCGCCGAGCTCGTCCCGGGCGTTTTGTTCGTCGACGAGGTCCACATGCTCGACATGGAATGCTTTACCTACCTGAACCGGTCGCTGGAATCGCCCATCGCCCCGATCGTCGTGTTTGCCACCAATCGCGGGGTGACCACCATCCGGGGAACGGAGCCGAGCGGCATCAAGGCGCCGCACGGAATCCCCCTCGACGTCCTGGACCGCATGCTGATCGTCCCTACGCTTCCCTACTCGGTGCAGGAGATGATTTCCATATGCCAGATCCGTGCCAGGACCGAGAAGCTGGACCTGACCCCGGACGCCTTTCGCCTGCTGGGAGCGATTGGCGAAAAAGCGAGCCTGCGGTACGCGATCCAGCTCCTGACGCCGGCCAAGCTGGTGGCCGAAACCCAGGGCCGGACCCAGATCGTTCCGGAGGACATCTCGCAGGTGGACGAGCTGTTCCTGGATGGCAAGGCCAGTGCGCAAATGCTGCTGTCCAACGACAGCATCGGGCTAATGAGCTAATGGATGCGAGGTTTCAACGGAATGGACCTATTGGTAGTATACAGTACGTTCTAGTTTGTGGTTTTTTTTCTACTCGGTACTCATTGTGATGCGCGTGAACAGCAATACAGCAGGCCGAACCCGCGAAATTCCGTAGCACCTGGCCACTCGGCTTTGTGGACCTTTTTCGAATTGTTTCTAGAATGCCAAACAACCGTGCCGTGCCGTGCCGCCGAGGCACTTGCGATCCCCTTGCGTCCCCGCCGCTCCTTCGTTGCCCAACTGCCTGCCTGCCTGCAAGCCAGCCTGAAAGCCTGCCTGCCATGCACTCGTGCCCGCGGCAAAAAGGGGGACGCCGCGGCACTTCTGCCGCTGCCAAAGATCTCCTCCCGCTCCCCGCGGCGTCCTTGTTCCCCCTTCGTTTCGTTTCGTTCGCCTTTTTTTTTCGAAAGCTACAGGATGAGGTTCTGGATCCCCCGGCCCACGGTCACCTCGTCCTCGCGGACGGTAATGGTGTAGTTGTCGTTGTCGTCGAAATCGAAATCGAGGCCCCCACCGAAACCGAGGCCCCGTTCGTCGTGCGCCAGGGGCACCGCCGCCGTCCCCAGCGCCCCCGGGCGGGAGAGGTGCAGGTGCAGGCGGTAAAAGGACGGGCACGCCACGTAGAGGAGCAGGGCGGCCCCCGCCAGGAGGAAGAGGCCCTCCAGGCAGCCCACCAGGCGGAGCTCGATCGAAGGGGCCGAGGGCCGGGCCCCCTTGTAGGCGTCCGCGATCCAGGCGTCGGCGTTCGCGGAAAGGGCGCAGAAGAGCGACCAGACCAGGCAGGCGAAAACGGCGCTGCCAATGCGGCGGACCCAGGCCCGGAGGCTGGGGCCGTCCTCCATCTCGTCGTCGTCGAGGACGTTGACGGAGCGCAGGCGGTCGTAGCCGATGTTGTTCCGGTCCAGGACCGAGAGGGCCCGGTCCTGCCACCGCCACATCCACTCGCAGACCGCCAGCAGGATCCCGCAGCCCAGCAGGAGGATGAGGGCACAGCTCGCGGCCAGGAGGTACCAGCCGTGGTTCATCAGGTAGGCAATCGCCATCAGGAGCATCCTCGATGCGCTCGTGTACACCACCGCGTAGGCAAAGAGGGTCAGCGAGACCCTGGCCGCCACAGAGACCAGTGTGGTGTTTCCCGCGCTGGTGAGGTCCAGCACAAAGGCGGAGGCCAGCGCGAGCACGGCCCTGGCGTATTTTGCCGCCGATCGGAACCGAGAGCGGTTGTAGTCGGCGGTGAAATCGTTGTCGCCGTAGCCGATGGCGTGGTTGCTGCTGCTGCTGCTGCTGTTGCTGCTGTTGCTGCTTTCGTCGCGTTCCTCCCCGGCCGGCGAAGACCCCGGCGGCGCTCCGGCGGGGTCCTGCCGGGGGGGAGCGGGATCAAGGGGGTCGGTGCTGGCGCCACCGGGAGCCGAGGAATCCGGGAACCCGGTGTCCGCGGGCGTGTGGTCTCGGGGCAAGCCTTCCATGATCTGTGCCGAGGCGGGAGCCACCGAATCTATGTGATCCACCGAAGACGAGTCCGGCTTTGCTTCGTTGGAGTGTGGTGTCGGTGTGGTGCCGGTGTGGTACCGCTGGTCAAGAACGAACAGAACCGCTTTTCTAGTGTTCGGAACAAAGACAATCCGGGTCCGCGAACGAAGAAATCTACGAGCTATCGAATGCGGGCAGAGAGCAAGTTGCCTTCTCGTGCGAGCAGAAATGTCGGAGGTGGAGGTGACGAGACCTTGCCGATTTCAATCGACTGGTGTGCCTTCCCTTTTGCTGTCTCTCTCTCTTTCTCTATCTTTGAGAACCTTTTCGACACGTTGCGTTCTGGTTTTTGTCGCATTGCTTCCATTACTTGTTTTCCGCTGGTACGAGTACTACGGTACGGCATGTACTTGGTTGGATCGTACATCGTACGTACCGAACCGTACGTAGCTTTGCATCCATAAGTACGGTACTTACTGTGGACTTCTCCGAATCTCGCCTTTCTATCGCGCACGAGAGAAAAAAATCAAAAATCGATTCTGATCACAACACAACACGGCAACAACACGACTGCATCGCACAGAACGAGTAAATGCTGAAAAGGACAGTACGGTACTGTACGGTACAAAAGCCGACACAAGACACAATCTTCTAAAAAACAAACAACATGAATCAGAAGGCTTTTGGGGAAACGGAGGGTCCGTACGGTACGAGTAGCATACTACAGATGTCTAATATTTTTGGTGGGCTTCAAGTCAGGGCGCTCTGCTGATTCAGGCAACCAACACGATTTTTTCGGTTTCGATACTTGATGAGACTTGGATCCCGGTACGGTACCGTACCACAAAGTCGTCTTGCTATAGTATTCTACTCGCACTAGTACGAACTCCGAAAGCATGCATCGATGAAGGAAAACAAAGAGCAAGAATGCCAATCGTAGAAACCTATCGAACATCGTAGCAGCAAGCGAATCGTGTCTTTTTGTTGCAAAGAGAACCATTGGACAGTTCGTTTCCTCGACATTACCGACGCCGATCTATGATCTTTTGCAAAAAAGAGCTTTCGCGCCATGGTTCTCAAAACTAGTAGTGGCAGCATTTTCCTTGCAGATTTTCGGCACTCAATCCCACCACACAAAAACCCAAAACGCCGGATCCCCGGCGACCGGATGGCGGGTTGGGTTTGTTCTGCTTCGACGTGTCGGCCGTGGATGCATGCGTCGCGGAGGGGTTTGTCGGACACGGAACAGGGACGGCCTGCCCGGGCCCTAGTCGTCGTCCACGTCGCGGTACAGGGTCGAAAAGACCCGGAGCAGCTCGTCTTCCTGTTCGACCCTCAGGTTTGTCCGGACTCCGAAGGGGAGGCTCCACCCCTCCTTCATGGCAAACTCAAAGGCGTCCTTGATGTCGATCTCCCACCCGTCGCAGAGCTGGAGGATGTTCTGGTTGGAGTACCGGTCGTTGAGGTAGCCCACGTCCAGGGTGTTGACCGCCTCGACCAGCGCAAAGGCCTGCTCGCCGGTCACGAGGTCCCCCAGCCGGTCGTTGACGTTGATGGGAACGGGAACCCCCCACATGGCCAGGACGTCCGCCAGGTAACAGATCGGCACCGAGTAGTCCCTCGATATCTCGCGGAGGGTCGAGTCTCCCAGAAAGCCAATCTCCCTCGGTGCCGGGGCGTCCTCCTTCTTCTCCTTGCCCCCCATGGCGGCGATGAGGTCTTCTTCTTCTTCCGTGTAGGGGGACGGCCGATCCTTTCGTTGGAAGGTTCCGTCCTTGCTGCCGTCGGCGCCCCCGCTCGCTGGTTTTTGGTGGTAGGAATCCCCCAGGACCTCGTTTGCGGGTATGAGCTCCCGGCTGCCTCTGGGTCGTCGGCCCCTGGCCTTTTCCGCGTCCGGAATCCAGTCGTCCGCCGTATCGTCCCCGTACATGTCGTTGTTCTCGCCCTCGAGCAGGACGTCCAGGTTTTCGTACCATGCGTCTTCTTCCTCCTTGTTTTCGTCGTAATCGTCCTCGTAATCGTCCTCGTAATCGTCGTCGTTCCTGCCGTTCCCCGGTGACGACGACAGGTGCAGCGCCGAAAACGACCCCCTACAGCGGTCCCGACGGCGCTGGAAGGCCGGTCCTTCCGGCCGTTGCACCGTGGGCGAATGACTCGCGCTCGGCGATGGGGAAGGAAGCGACGGTCCACAGATCTCCTGGGGCGGCAGCAAAAGTTGCGTGCTGGTCCACGCCTCGACCACGGGTTCTGCCAACAACAAGAGGAGCGTCGAGGCCGTTGCTGCCAAAGCGCACACCCGAGCGAGGGGGAGCATTTGCATAGAAAAAGCAGGTCCGTTCGTGGGCATGGCGCAGGAAATGGGCAGTCGATCGTATGCGATGCGTGTTTTCCGGGTGGGATTCGGTATGCAAACCAGGTATTGTATTTGTTTTGTGGTCGGCGTGGATGGTGCAGCTGATGTATGGTTTTTGTTGGTTGGTGATGCGCTGTGCAACGAAAACTTGGATGATTTTTTGTTTCATAAAAAATTTTGTTGCCATGGATTGATGGTTTTTAGATTGCTTCGGTGATTGAGTCGAGCTAATCAAAAATGAAGTGAAAGAAAATCTTCCCCCACCCTACCGGTACATCTCTACGGTGCAGTTAGTGCTACTGGTACCGGTAGAGGTGAGAAGCAAGCATAAGCGTAGCTTACCCACGTAGATACTTTAATACATACTATACTATACCCGTACCGCTTTTCGTGCTGAACCGAGAACAAACACATCAGTCATGTCTGTCAGGTGGGATTGAGGATGGAATGATCTTTCGATCGAAGGTGGTTCGGACCGAAAACGATGACGGTGATTGGAGTTCATCGCAAAATCGGTTTGCATTTAAATCGGTTCTGTTAGTTGTTGGATTCCATCATACTTCCTCGACACAATTTAAGCATTAATTTGGTGCCGTAGTGTGCAGTTTGTAGAAAAGCAGTAGCCATGGCGCCGAGCAGAAAAGGTCGAGTTTCAGCCCCCCTGCTAACGGCGGGATTATTCCTGGCGTTCGTCGCCGGGGCATTTTCGTTCGTCCCTCAACGACGATGGGCCCAGGGAACGTCGACCCGATCATCCCTCTGCATGTCTGCGGAGTCTAATGCGTCGAGCAATACCAAAGGAAAGCTGCTGGTGCTCGGAGGGACGGGCTTCCTCGGACAAACGATTTGCCGGAGAGCGCTGCTGGAAGGTTACCAGGTGACGAGTGTGTCGAGGCGGGGCCTCCCCCCAGCGACGAAGGACAACAAATCCGAGCAGCAGCAAGCCGGTCCCATCGGCAGCAACAGCATCGATTATCGAGCCGGGGATGCACGAAAAGAAAACACCATATCGTCGATTCTTCGGGAAGGTGGCTACGTCGGCGTCGTCCACTGCATCGGTCTGTTGCTGGACGACGCCTCGGGACTCGGGACCTACAACAGGTTCGTGTCTGGATCGGGGTCGGTTCCGGACGAGAACTCCTCCTACGACAGCATCACGCGGGTCACGGCCTTCAATGCCATCGATTCGACGATCCAGTACCTGAACGATCAAGAAGGCGGCCCTCCCGGGGGTCGGCTTCCTTTTGTCTTCACGTCGGCCGCGGAAGCCGGCTGGCCCGACGTTGCCGGGGGAAGCCAAATAGAAAAATTCCTGGCACCGGAATGGCTGCAGCGGTATTTGGTGGCCAAGCGGGCGGTGGAATCGAAACTCTTGGGAACGGATGCCCAAAAATTGCTGCGTCCGATCATCGTGCGGCCCTCCCTCATTTACAGCTTGGACAAGCCAGCCAGCTATGTTCCGGTGGGAGCGTTCTTTGTGGGCAACAGGCTTGGATTGCCCTTTGTGGACAGGCCCGTGACGGTGCAGTCGCTGGCCAATGCCGTGGTCAAATCCATGTCCAAAGACTCCACGGTGGAAGGCGTCCTGCGTTATCCCGAAATCGATGCCCTAAACTAGAATGCTAGAGAACACACGAATCAATCTCAAAAACCCTTGTCCTTCGCCAATTTACAAACAAAAACAGTCGTACTGTTACTAAACGAGATTTTAATCTTATGCATGAAGTCATCAAGAATTCTAATCAAAAACTGCATTCATTCCGTACAATACAGCGTGCAAGCTTTACGAAGTATCCCTGCACAGAGTGCAACAGTCGGGCTCGCAATCAAAGCCGAATCCGGTCCGTCTGTTGTAGCAATCTACGACGAACTGACCAAGCTTGTCATTCAATAAGTCGCAAACCTCAATAGGGACCGTACCCGACAATTGGTTGCCCTCTAGAGTGAGTTGTTCCAGTTCTGCCATTCTACCCCAATGGCGGGGAACCGATCCCGTGAATTGGTTGTTTTTCATCTGCAATCGAGTCATGTTCCAGAGGTATCCAAGTTCCGATGGCAGCGGACCGGAGAAGTCGCAATCGTGGAGACTGAATTTGACTGCACAAAGAGACAATGAAAAGTGGAATATTGTTTCGAACGTTGTATTCATTCGTAGAAAGAAATTGGAGAACGATCAGCAGCAGTTTACAAAAAAGAGCAAGGAATACGAGCACACACACAGCTTGAGCGCCGTATCATCATCCCAGCTGTGGCAATGCATCACAAAAATCACCAACGCATCCGGATCTCTAGTAGAGACTTACACAAATTAGTCAATTGTCCTAATTCTGTCATGAGGGTTCCATGGAAATTGCTAATCGCGATGTCCAACCGTTCCAGGTTGGACAAGAGCGCCAACTCGGTCGGCAGAAAACCACCTACACCAGATCCTGTGATACGAAAGTCACGCAAGTTCCACAGCAACCCAAAATAGGAAGGAATACTTCCAAAAAATAGATTGTTGGTCATCGCCAACACTTCCAAGGCGTCAATGCGTCCGATCTCTGACGGCAGTCGTCCCGAAAGGGCATTGTTACTGACACGAAGATACTTGAGGTTCTTCAACTTCCCTATTTCCGTTGGGATTGTCTGCACAAAGTCGTTGAAACCAATATTGAGATCGGTCAAGGTACTGACGGCACCGATCTCCGAGATTAACTCTCCGTGGAAAAAATTGGTTTCCAACCGAAGTGACTCGAGTTTTGTTGCTTTCACTATTTCAGGTGGGATGCTTCCCGTCATTCGATTGGCATAGAGACGAAGTTCTTTCAGCTTGGGCATGGAAAATAGTTCCGTAGGGATGGTACCCGTTAAGTGTGTTCTTGTAATAGCAATGGAGGCCAATCCTGTGAGTTTGGCAATTTCCGTTGGAAACTAAGACGCAAATTATTTGACGGTTAGTTTAACCCAACGATGGTCACAAAATAGAAATTAGTATCAGCAGGGTGAGTAGGAGTACAAAGCATCTTGAAGACTTTTGAAAAAAGAAATGACCAACTCGAGCATTGCATCCGATTGTACCGTGCTTTCGGTTATTCTTACCGGTCCGAAAAGATTGTTTGCATCGAGCGCCAGAGAATTTACGATACCTTTGTTGTTGCACTGGATCCCCATCCAAAGACACTCGTTGAAGGGTCCCAACCAACCATCCATAAAATCCCAAACGGTTCCGTTCAATTGGTAAAAATTTAACGCCATAGCGAATCGTTGCCTGGCTTCTCCCCCATCTCGGTTGTCTCCCGTAGCCAACCAAGTTGCGGCCATGTTTGCGGGATCGCAAGAATTCAGAGGAATAGTGAAGTTTGGACCGTAGAACTTGGGCGCCACCCGCTCGATGATCAAGTTCCTCATTTCTGCCACATCATCCGGAACATCGACGATCTCACCTAAGCACGCACATTGATCCATGATGTTTCGGAATTCTCCAGAGTATTCAATTCCTTCTGACTCTTCGCAATCTCGATTAAAGGGTGCCATCGGCGCGGTGACCACTCCTGGGTTCAGGATAATATCGTCGTCATACATGTAATCATCATCGGTGTCCGGAACCCATGGTTCCATGGTCGGCATAGGAGTTGGTTCCGGCGCTCTGTCTTTCGATCGAGTGATCAAAAAGATGACAAAGGCAATGATTGCTAGCAGTAAGCAACAAAGCATGACAAAACAGCAAATCCAAGCTCGACGAAGACGAGCTCGCTTGCGACGATCTTCTTCGTCCTGTTCGTCATAGTAGAATTGATCATCCTCGTCGTAGTAGTAATCATCGGGCATTTCGTCTCGATCGTCTCCATAGTATTCATCCCTCGAGTAAGAACTCTCGCTATCGCTATCGTCGTCATCATCAGTACCATACTCATTGCCGTATTCCTTATATGGGTCTGCGCTATCGTTGGTCTTTGTCTGTTCGTCATCTTCGTCTTCGTCGCCATAATTATAATCTTCTCCGTCGTAAGAGCCTGGATCGCGAACATCGTTGGTGGTGGAGTAGTCTTCATCAAACTCAGCGAAGTCATCGGGCCCGCCATATGGTTCGTATTCGCCGTATGAATTAGCACTACTCATGGTCGCAAGAGTAGAGTAATGCGAATGATTTTGTCTAGATTAACCGTCGGAAATAAAGGCCTAGGTAAAGAGCTTCTGTCGCCTCTGGGTACAAAGTGTTATTTTGATGTGTTTTTGAACCAACTATGGCAATGAATTTTTCTTTTGTTTCTCTTTTCTTTTTATTTATTTCGTGTTTAACGTTTTGATCCAGTTCATTGATCAAAGACAAAGGAGGAAGTATTGTCTTCAACGCGATAAAGAGCAGTGGCAGTGACCGTAGCGTACCGAGGAGGGAGGAGTCGTTGGTCGTTGGTTATTGCTTTTGATCGAGGAGAACATGCATACGGCATCTTTCTATTGTGGCATGGTGCCGTACGAATAGTACTCCTACTCGTACCTTGATACTTAAACGTTGGATTAAACGTTGGATTATTTGCTATGAAACAAATATGGAGTGGAAAAGACGAGGTTCGCTTCATTCATCGTGTCATGACCCTTCAAGACATAAGCCAGAAATTACCAAAATGACTCTCCTATACCCAGAAAGTCATTGTGTTCTAATTCGACCCGTTCGACTCGGTTCAAAATACTTCTAACGTCGGCGTGAAATTTCGACTTGAAAGATGAGGGGAGCGAGAAGGCGGAAAGACGATGCGGCAGATGGCATGATTGTGATATCTTAAAAAACAACGAAAGAGGCTAAATTCCGTGTAGAAAAGATCATCAACCAATCTTGTTCGGTACGATATGTACGTACGGTACCGTAGAACCAACAGTGAGTCTTGGCTTTAGTTGCGATGAAAAGCACGAGTAGGCATAAAGTTAGGAACTTTCTGTAAACACGTTCCTCTCTAACGACACCAAGTAACATTTTCGGCATCAATTTTATTTCCATCGTGGTCAACTTTCCGTGCTCGTCGACAACCATCATCTTCGAGGGCATTCCTGTCGCTTGGATCACATGAGGAAAATGAGAAATATGCTGGCACCGAAACGAAAACTCCAGCCTTGGCTTTGTATGATGATTGTCATTCAACTATCTCTGAGACAAAAATCGGTTGGCTCCTGGCACATTATTCCGAGAACGATTAAGCAAGGTATCAATCGGCAGCTACTGTCACCGCCTCGCTACATCCCGTGTGGCAGGAACACAAACCCCTGCTTGCGATCGACCACGGCCTTAATGTATACGGTAGAAACCGGTATGCAGAATGCCACGGCCCCGTTTGTGACCGCTCCTACCGCTACTCTTATCAAAGAAGCACAAACACTCTCGCAAACTAAAACTCCCTTACCTCCGTCCTTTGAGGTCACTTCCGCTTACCTTCCTACCGGTGATCAACCCGAAGCCATTGATCGTCTCGTGGAACAGGTACAACGAGGAGACAAATACAGCGTTCTGCGAGGAATCACTGGAACAGGAAAAACGTTTGTAATGGCCCATACCCTTGCGAGATGCAACCGTCCAGCTCTAATCCTTTGCCACAACAAAACTCTAGCAGCACAATTGGCAAGAGAATTGCGTTCTTTGCTTCAAAAGAACCAGGTTCATCTATTTGTGAGTTACTACAATCATTATGTTCCTGAATCCTATAACGAAAAAATTGGGAAGTTCACTTCGAAGAAATCGAGCATCAGCAAGGAACTAAATGCTCTACGGCATTTGACGACAAGAGCACTCGTTGAGCATTCCGATACTGTGATCGTAGCCTCGATCAGTTGTATTTATGGGTTGGGTCTTCCTGCTTCGTATCTGGATTCAGCCTTCACATGGGAGGTTGGTGGAGGGGCCCAATACTCGGAAGAGGAAATTATTGGTATGTTGCAGGGGGGCATGTACACAAGCAAAGAAAATGAGGACAACGAGTGGTTGGAGCTTTCTGATACTACGAGTTTGGAACACGGCGAATATCACATGTCCCGTTCGTCGATTGATGGAGCTTTGTCGGTCATATTGTGGCCCCCCACCGAGCCTTCGGCAATCAGAGTCCATTTTAATGTGACCAAAACCAACAAGGAGAATCTGTCGTATTCAATTGGTTCTATAGACACCATTTGTCCAAATGATGATGACAACACATTCAGGATGGAAAGCGTCACGATCTTTCCTGCCAGGCACCACTCGACTGGTTCGGACGAGGAACGATTTGAGGAGTCTCTTTCGAGGATACAAGAAGAGCTTTCGAACCAAGTAAAAAACTTTAACGCAGAATCAAAATTTGTGGAAGCGGATCGATTGTCTCGGCGTGTTAGCGAAGATCTCATGTTGCTGAGAGAAACAAGGAACTGCAATGGAATTGAAAACTACAGCCGACATTTGGCTTTGAGGAACGAAGGAGCTGCACCGGACACGCTGCTTGACTATTTTGGCTCTCAAAACTTTTTACTGTTTGTCGATGAATCCCATGTGGCACTCCCTCAATTGGCTGCAATGTATCGTGGTGATAAGGCACGAAAAAAAATGTTGGTCAAACATGGATACCGGCTCCCGTCGGCATTAGACAATCGCCCCCTGAAAGAAGACGAATTCTGGGATCGAGTGACTCAAACAGTGTTTGTCTCAGCGACTCCCAGCAAGAAAGAATTGGATCTTATATCGAATATTCACGAGAACACACCCATTGATATGACAATTCGACCAACCTTTGTGTGCGATCCTCCGATCGACATTCGACCGACCGGAAACCAGCTCGAGGATCTTGTCGCGGAAGTGAAAAAAAGAATTGAAAGGAAAGAGAGATCATTGGCAATGACTTTGACCAAAAGGGACGCAGAAGATTTGTCAAGTTTTTTAATCGAACAAGGTATACCTTCAACGTATATTCATTCCGGACTAAAAACACGCGAACGCTCTGATGCACTGAAATCTCTCCAGCTTGGCAAAATCGATTGCCTTGTGGGGGTGAATCTTCTCCGAGAAGGCCTTGATTTACCAGAGGTATCTCTCGTTGCTATTTTAAATGCTGATGTAGAAGGATTCTTGCGATCCGAAACGGCTCTGCTCCAAACCATTGGCCGAGCCGCCCGGAACCAGAACGGCAGAGCTATTCTTTATGCTGACCGCATTACTGATAGCATGGAGAAGTGCGTCTCGTCTACCAGAAGGAGAAGGGAAATTCAGCTCGCATACAACAAAGAAAATTGTAAGGAAGTTAGATCGGCGAAAGGATCTTCTTTTTTACCAATATTTGATTTGCTCAGTGACAAAATAAAGGAGGAGACAGCTTTGGATGAAGAGTCGTCGACTTCAGAGCCAATGACAGCTTCAGCAGCTGGTTACAGGAAAGGAGAGTCTACCGTTCATGTATTGCGAAATATGGATTTAAATAGGCTACCAAAGAAACCTGGTGTATACTTCTGGAAAGACAGAGATTCGAATATTTTATACATTGGCAAAGCGAAACAATTGAGACAAAGGATTATGTCCTATGTGAGACCAAGGGCCAAACATGGATCTAGAATAAAGGCGATGCTTGCAAAGAGTGAAACAGTCGACTTTTTGATCACCCCTTCGGAACGCGATGCTTTACTGTTAGAAGCGAATCTCATCAATCGTCACAAACCACCATACAACGTGTTGCTCAAGGATGACCAATCATATCCATACATCTGTGCTTCCGTTGGAGACGAGTTGCCAGAATTTAGAATGGTTCCACGAAGGCAGGTTTACGGAGACGCCGGCACCTACAGATACTTTGGTCCGTACCCAGATTACAGTGATATAACAGCGATTCTTGAAGGGATTGAGGAGACTTACGGTCTTCGGTCGATGCGTTTTAAGGCACGTTTTGGAGACTTTGATAAGGAAGCATACCAAGCCAGATTTGATGAAGCATTTCGTGAGGTATTCCAGACAAGCGAAGGTTCGCCTATGGTTCCACTTTCGAATATGCGTCTGAAAGGAGAGGAAGCCTCAATTATTTTCGATTCTGCGTACAACAAATCAAGAGATGTTGTTGTGGTCGTTGAATCAGACCTTTTGTTGAATGAAATAATTGTTCTAGTCCTACAGCTTCGGCAAGGGATTGTTATAGGTAGCTTTTCCTATATCTTCGAGTTTGGCAAAGGTCATATCATGGATAGAGATCTCTCAGAAGCTATAGAGGCCGTTCTTATTGAACGTCATTATCGATCGGGTGAAGCGCCACTAAGGGCTGGATATTCCTTCTTTCCCGACGAAATTTTGGTACAACATCCTATTCGCAATTTAAAGGAGCTAAAAGACGTTATCAAGTTGTCAAGGGACAGTGTCGAAGTAGAAAGAAAGGACGCCAAAATATCAGTTCGAAAGCCGGCTGTGAGTGGATCCAAGAAAAAAGTAGATGCGAGGGTCATAGAGTTCGCTCTGCAAAACGCAAAACAGGTAGCACGAGAACGAGAGACTAGACGACATGGCGATGCATTGCTTACATCAGTTGACGGGACAGCAGCTACAGAGCTAGCGAGTCTTCTATCTCTTGAGGCAAAGCCTGAGAAAATTGAATGCTTTGATATAAGTCACCTGCAAGGAGAAGCCGCGGTCGGTTCACGAGTTGTGTTTAATAATGGAAGGCCACAACCACACCTTTATCGTCGATTCAATGTGAATACTGTTGCAGACACAAGGGATGACTATGCCAATCTAGAAGAGGTTCTAGCTAGAAGATTTCTTCGCGCAAGATCTGTAAACTCGTTTGACCCTGTTGATAAAGACGACCCTTGGGCAGTTCCCGATGTTGTGGTAATTGATGGTGGGAAAGGTCAACTTGCTGCCGCTTTGCGGGGTATGGCCAAGGCCCGGGTGTTTCCCTCCAACCTTTATTCTAATGAAACCATGTACAAGGACGTTGAGTCATCAAGTTGTCTCAAGAATAATATCCCCCCGGTTTTTGTACCGGTGATTGCCCTTGCGAAGCGCAATGAAGAATTGTTTGAACCGGGTTCTAGATATTCAATCAACGCAAAACCAGACTCCCCTGCACTGCTGCTTCTTCGTGCTTTGCGTGACGAAAGTCATCGTTTCGCGGTGTCGTCACATAAGAAACGACGATCGAACATGAACAAACTGTAACCCATACTCATTGTTTATTCCTTTTACTCTTTTCCAGACTAGAACTACCTTATGTCACTTTAGCCTGTCGATATCTCACTCGGGTTGGAACTATTGCAGTCCTAAGCGCACCTCCAAACTATGAGTGAATGAACATTTATTTCATGATAATTATCCTGATCGTTTTGGCAAAGGTTCTGCTTAATTTCTGAATGCTTTAGAGTTTGTGGTTCATTTCATGCTACTCTGTATCCTCTTCTGTGGAACAACCCAAATCAGAGTAAAAAAGCAGCATGCTGTTAGTGACACCAGTATTTATCAGGAGGATTATCACTAGATAGCAGATTTGAGATCCATCATTTTTCATTGTGAGTGAAATATTGAAAAACTAGAATTTGGAAGCCTTTTGTCCTAGTGACTGCTTTGCTGGATAGCAACATCCAGAATATTGCTGCCAGCAATAACAAGGTCAAACTGTTTTGGTTGAAAATTTGATGTTTTTGTTTTCTCGTGTTACCAGCTGCAAATAGAGTATGGACAAAATCTTCCTTGCAATACAAAATCTTCTTGCTATGGCAGAATACAATACATCTTTGGAATCGAAGCACCAAAAGACAAAGTCAGTGTAGGTTTGATTTGTTGGAACTGAAAATTATTAGTTGATTGCTAGTATGTTAATGAAAGATGTCATGTACAATTCCATGGCTGAGACCCATGAACATGTCATTTAAAGTTCATACCAGACTTGATTGTGCTCAATAAAGATGTGCCATTTACAATCATAGTAATAGTACTACAGGTTAGAGACACCAGTGCAATAGCCTAACATTTCCTGGTGATCATCCTTCCAATTTACTATCTGGTCCAATACACACAATCAAACTGAAACAGTTGTCTATCCAATAGACTTACAATCTTAAATTATGTCAACTCAAAACACTCTCAACTTGCTTAATGAATTCAAATCCAAGGTTCACAGCATTTCTGGATTATAGCAACCTCTGAATCAAAATAAACAAAGTATTCTTCATCTCTATAAAACCTGCAACTGTAACTGTGTATTTGAGACACTGTATTTTCTCTCTAAGTTTCATCACCTGTCTGATAACCTTGACAAACACTGGGTGCCTGTGTAAACTTTTTCTTTTACTGCCCCAAACCCCTTTTTCTGGAAAAAAATACCAGAATTCTCATGTCTGAAATTGTGTAGGCTGCACAAAACAACTTTGAAAAACATCAGGAACAAGGAAAACAAAAACTTTTCTAGTTGTTCATTTGATTCTTGTTCTTTCTGCTTTTACAACAAGAAAATAAAACAATCTCAACTAAAATATCTAACCATCACATGGTAGTGGCCATTCTCCTGTTGCTAACCAACTGGAGTCCCTCCAGGCAGATATAATGGGACTGTTTCCAGGGATGACACCAATAATTTTCTTCAAAGAACTAGCTCCTCCTACTTCTCATGTCACCTACTTGTCCAATATTTTCTTTGAAAACATAAAAAACTCCTTGACCATGAGCTCCTCTCTGATGGATGTCATCTTGAGCAAGATGAATTACAATATCTTCACCAGGATTCAATCCTCTTAAGTTCAATTGAAGGCCTCCCTGCTTGCACACAATTCTTTGGATGATTGTAGAAGCCCAGACCAGAGTCATAGGATTTTTCAAGTAAAGGACACATCTTAGCCTGGTGGTAGTGGTTCTTCCCTTCTACATAATTAACACTACTAGCCATGCACATGGCAAATTTGTAAACATGGGATGGAAGATGCACAAATCAAAACTCAATGGGGGAAATGTTTAATCTCTTCTTGATAGTTCATGAACATATAATTTTCAAATCGAACTTTTTCAAACGCACGAAATTACACTTTGCTTATGAAAATTATCCCCTAGAATTCCTACTGATTCTTACGTACATTCCTACCTGACAAGCTCCTTCTGACTTCCGAACCATGGTGACATCCCYTTCGGAAGGGGAAAATCCACCTCCCTGGCTCCATTCAAGAGGCAACCAAGCAATGTAACCTATTCCAAGTATATCGATATCCTCCAGCTGGTGGTGGTAGTTTGCCCCAGCTGGATCCATCCCCTGGTCCTCCAGAAGCACCGAGAGGTATCTTTCCGTGTTGAAGTTGAGCAATTCCGGCATTCGTGCTGGAAAGCAACAACACCAACCCCAGCCCCCAGTATTCAACCAAGACCAATCCTATGATGAACAACGCTTGGGGTATATGCTACATCATATTCAGTTTTAAAGAAGACTCCCTAGCATCTCCATGCAGTTCCAGTATCAGTTCCAGCATTTTACGGACCGGAAGAGTTTTCCGGTCAGGTTGTTGTTGGTTCTGACATTCATGCCGGAATGCAATAACAACAACCCCACCCCAGCCGATACTCTATCAGTATCAACCCCGGTATTATTTCTCCATCTGAGTGCAGTTGCCTCAGCTGGATCCATCCCCACCAGTTCTCAAGGACTGGAAGCCCCAGCAGTGCTTCCGGTCATGATTGTTGTTGTTTGTTGTCTTATGTGGTAGACAGAAACAGCAACACCCCCAGTATTTGACCTCCCAACCAGCAGTGGCAGGGCTAGTGGATTTATTACCAGTGTCTTCTTTGAGAAGATATTCAAACAGCTGCACCTTTGGGCAGGCTCCTCAGCTGTAATTTGGTGAAAGAAGTATGACGTTTCCTTTTTTCTTTTTGGCTTTTCTTTTTTTTTAATTTTTTTTTTTTTGATTCCATGTGTCCTTGACCACTGTGGTGTCAACTTGCCTTAATTGGCTTGGCACTGTGCGTGGCACACATTTCCTTGATCACTGCATTTGAGCTGGCCTACAGGTAGGGGATTGAGGACCCCCAACCTACGGGCTTGGCAGTGCCCTTTGAAATGGTAATGGCATGGTTCTCATCCATCCAAACTGTGAACCAATTGCTTTTATGTCCTCTGAGTCCAGCCTTGGGCCGTCATTGGCCTGCTATCAGTGTGCATAGAACTTGGTTGCGCCTCCACAAAACCTCCTCGGAGGGAGGCGTCGCCCCTTTGAGCAGCTAGAAGCATTCTTTCTAACAAAAGCTATGGTTCTGGCCATATCTAGTGCCTCTTCTAGTTCACAAGGTTAAATCTAATTTTAAGATTTTTTTTTTAGAATTCATGAACATAGATGTTGAAATGGATTGGAAAAGCTGCCTTCTTGTTCTTCTAAGTCAAAGATGGGATACCTTCTTGTCAAATTTCAACAGATGAAAAATTTCATCCTTGTAATGCTGGACCATGTTTCTTCTGTGCAAACAAAAAGACCAGCACCATTGCTCATGGCAAGGCAAGTTGAACAGCCACATGAAAAAGGAGGAAGTTGAAAGTATGAAAAATGCAGAAGGAGTAGTAGTGTGTGTAGAAGAAGCAAGGGAAAGGTATGCTCAATCATTGATGAGGGGGGAATGGAGTCACACAGAACCAGTAGTAGTACTAGTATTAGTACTATGAAGGAGATGTCAAGGAATGTTTACAGTGCATGCAAGAGTTGAAGTGTTGGTGGTGCCATTTCTAAAGAACATTGGAATGGCTTCAACCATCAGATCCAGTGAGGCACTTTGTAGAATTCTAATGTTTGTGTTTGATATTACTATTATTTTTTGTAGTGCTGATTGCATCACAAGAAGTGTAGTAGTGTAGTTGTAGTGAAGTACTAGTAGTGGAGTAATAGTGTAGTAGTGGTAACATACAACAGGAAAAAGTTGAATATTTCTGGACTACTACAAGATGTTTAGTTTATTTTGCAACTCTGGATGTTCTGTTTTAGACCCCTCAGACAAAACATTTTGTGTGTGGAGAAAGCAAAAAGCACGTGGAATGCACCTCCCTGGCCAGACTTGTTGTTAGTAAGACCATTTTCACTTATTTCATTTGATTTTCAATTTAAGACTTTTGGGGTAAAAATTGATGAATTCTACTTTCATGAATTTGAACATTGTTTTCAATTTCTAGATTTCTGTCGAGTTAAGTCCATAGTATTGAATTTTAGTGTTGATTTTACAATAATGCCAATCATTATTTTCTATTTCAATTGTGCTACATTAACATTTTATTCTTTCTAGTTTAGTCAAGTCACTTTCATTATCCTCATAATTATGTGATACCTTGTTTGACCTCATCCTCCTTTGTAGCTTTTTTCTTTCAATGCATGAAACCACCACCACCACTAGTACTAGTAATTTAATGTCTAGTAGTATGGTCTTTTTGGGATTTCTACATCTGGAATTTCTTTTTACAGGGAGTTGTTGTAAGTCATTATGGACCACCAATTTGACAATTTTGGAGATAATTGGACAGGTAGTATGAATTGAAAACATTGATCAAGATGGTTTTTGATTATCTTTTTTGAACTGGCTTCTTGAACTTACTATTCCACACATGATCAGAAAGCATGTCAGTATTGTTTGAAAAAGCTTCATTACAGTGCCTGACATAGATTTTAAGTAAAAGTGATATTATAGGTGCATGATTCCAAACCAATTCTTGAATCTGCATGTGAAAAGTGTGTAAGGACATGAATTGCTGATGGCTGATTATAGATTTATGCATGCTTGTACCAATTATCATTCAATTGTGTATTAGAATGAGATGAAAATCAAAGAGAAAGTTGAAAGTATTACATTAAAACCTACATTTCAGCTGGGTTTGGGTTCCTTTTTGACATTTTCAGATAACCTGGTGGGGTGAAACATCCTCTCTCTTCTAGTTCAGCAACCCTTTTATGTATTCTTTATTGCCTCGCTCAGAAACAATGCTTGGTGTTGAAATCATAGTATGTGTGTCATATGGGTTGAGACAATTTGAAAATGTAGTCTGCCCAATCTAGTGACTGGAGCCTTCAAAAGAACTCTCATCAGAGAAGATCAAGTACAGCGTGTTGATAGCTTGACTACTATTGAAGATGATGTGATTTGTTGAGGGTTGTCCTCAGAAGCCATTTTGTAAGAAATAGAGCAAATACATGATATTTTGATTCCTTGAATACAGTTGATTTGTCAACCATCTTCAGTTGTGCAATAGATTGAGTAGAATAATGGATTCTGTTTCAGAAACAGAGCAAGCATTGCAGTATGGATGTCAACCAGGATTCTGGTCACACAGAATGAGATTAAGTCAAAGCTGCTCTTGACAGCTTTGGTCCATGCATTAATTGAAAGTATTAGTGTGGAATGCACATGTATGTGGAAGCAGAATCAGTGGACCAGCAGACACTGACATCTGCAAACCCTCACTGGTGTAGAGTGTAGCAAAATGTTTGACACAGATCCCATCCCCAATAGATACAATAAATTGATGGTTTTTATATGGGAACTTTTGCTTGTTCTTCATAGTACTATCACAATTCAAAACAAGGTAATATCCTTTGTGATATCTCTTGTGTCCTTCAAGAAAGTTCAAGGGAATTGAGTTGGAAACAGCTCCATTTTTACCATGAAAATAGTTCCAAATTTGATTATTCTTGCTGCTCCCAAAGTAAACTCACAGGTGTGCATGGATAACTACTGGGCTCATTGTAGGGTCTGCCCCCACTGTCTCATGGCCATGGAAAAAATCCATATTTTTGTCATGCTACTACTAGGGGTTTAGATAGTACACAGTATTGTAGTAGTAGCATAATGATTGTGGTACTATGTAACAGAGATTGTTACCAGATGCATCCATTTGTTGGGTCTGGGGCACTATGGTTGCCTCCATAGTGCTGAAATATCCTGAAATGTCCTGCACCAAGCTCCTACATTGTTTCTCCCTTTGTTGTTCAACTACAGGCTACCACCAATGGTGTCCTCAATCTTGTGTTCCAGTGGTGTAGCTTGTGCTGGTCATGGAGGCAGCAGGCTTGAGAGTGTTTGGCTACACTGTCTTTTTTGGGTTTGTATTGCCTTGGCATGCTGATATTGTTCAGGAGGCCCAGGAGATCCAGGAAGCTTTGGGTCTTTTTTGTTGTGGAGGTCCAAATCAATTTCTTGACATACTCAATGACATTATAGAGAGTGACATTAATTGGTTGAGTTCTTTGGGAAGTATTTACGTTACTATGGGTGTTTCTTGGTGACAAGAAGATTGGCAGAGAACTTCTGGTCTTTGAGATCTCTTGTTTACATTTCATTGTTCAGCATCTCCAAGTTGTAGCTGTAGTAACAAATGTTGTATATCTTCCTCCATAATGTGGCATCCTCAATGGGCAGTTTTGTTGGTTATTGTTTGCATTTCAGTATTTCAATAGTTGTGTCAATGAAAGTGATGATCCTGATCCTATAACATGAGTTTATCTGCTTTCATCAAGTTTTTCTGCTGGTTGTGCATCTTTGGAAGTGCTGCCCCTGGAACAACTAGTAGAAGCATCTTTCTACATGGAAGTGATGGCTCTGGCCACCCTAGTGCACCTTCTAGTGGGCCATGAGGTTAACTATAATATTAAGTTTCTCCCCCAAGTTTTTAGTGCTAAATGAATGTCCATTCCTGTTCAATGGATTCTGCATCACAAGAAGCATATGCTCAAAATCTACAATAATGTCTCATTTGACAAGAAGGAAGACATGCTTGTGGGACTAATGTTTTGAAAGGTTGCTTGATAAACTTCCAACCTTGACTGTGAAGTTTCAAGGCTGTTTAAAACATTGCACTTCTTTGAGATTATATCTTTTGAGCTTATTTGAGTATCCAAATAGAATTCCAACTAAAACAACTAGTACTAGTATTGTATGATTGTAACAAATACAACAACTTGAAATTCCAAAAACTGGCTTTTACTTTATTTTTAGAATGCAGTCATCAGATACTCTCCTTTAAAGTTTACAAGAAAACCATGAAAAATAAGAACAATACTGAATGATAGTGGCATATTTTTTTCAGTGTACACCTATGTCACATAGTAATTACTACAATCAGTACAAAAGTTGATGGGGTAATATTCTCCAAAAACCACCTCTTCACAATTCTTTCCAATGGGGTTACCACAGATTTTCCACAACTTATCTCTCCCACCTCTTCTTGGTTGAAAAATGTTGTTGATTTGAAAGCAATCTATCTTACCAGATGTTTTCTGCCCAGCAATTCTTATCTGATCAATATGTTTTTGAACCACCATCTGGGGGACAAAACTAAATTTTTTAAAATGGAATTCTTCATTGACAAGAACTAATTTTATCTCATAAAAATCTGGTTCTGTTCACCAATGAGCGAGTGATTGGAGGATAGCAACTTCTCTCCACCATTTCAAAACATGACCAATACTAAGCATTGAATGGTTGACTGCTAACACAGCAGTACCACCATATGGCAAAACTTGTGCTGGTGGGTCTTCATTTCAGTACCACAACTAATTGTTTGCAGCACCTCTTGTTCTTGTTCCTCTGCTCACCACCACCATCATCATCATCATGATGCATGGCATAAAATTAAACAACATGGCAGCAACTGCATGATTTGAAGTCCTTCAATGGAGTTGTAGTGAGCATGAATTAAACAAGCCTCATTTTTCTTCTTCTCCTCATTCCAACCAATAATGGTCCTCACAAGAAGATCAGCATTCTCATAAATCCAGCCAATGAGTCAACAACAACCAACAAGAAGACTGTTCCTGCTGCCTGCACCATTGTTTCCAAAAAAAAGCTCTGTAGTAGTAGGAGGAGGAGGAGGTTGCTCCCTTTGACGAAATTCAAGAACTTCTTGACCTTGACCTCTCTGATTCATCTGATCTAGAACAGGATGAATTGGAACATCTTCTCCAGGACTCCTCAATTCTCATGAGCCCACTAAAATTCCTCCTGCTGGTACACAAATGTCTTTAGATGGTGATGAAGGAGCATGCAACAATGACAATGAAGAAGACAGCAACAACAACATAACACCACAACATCAATCTCCTAGTGTCAGGAATCTTGTGCAATTCTTTGAGCAACTAGTACAAGACTCCACCACTACTCCAAGTCCACCAAAAAAGAGGAGTAGATCAACTATGTCTAGGAGTACTACTAGTACTGCTGGAAGTATCATTCATGATTATCTCCAACAAGGAAGAGTCATTTGGGTTTCATTTGATGTTGAGACTGGTGGCCCAAAGTGTGGGATCCTCCAGTTGTCTGCAGTTTTTTTTAATTGCAACCACAATGAGCTGGGATATTTTCATTCATATTGCAAGCCAGCACCACCAAGGGCAGTATTTCTTCCTCAAGCCTGTGAATGTCATGGTATACTAAACTCCCGTGATCATGAGAAGATCTGTAATGCCCCTGGTATTAAAGATGTTTGGGTAAACTTCTGTGCCAAATTGAAAGAAATTTTCAACCAACAGTCAAGTGCTATCAACAAAGTTTGTATTGGTGTCATGGTGGCATGGAATGCCAAGAGTTGTGACTTGGAATGGATCTACAAAACCATTCATTCAAATGCTTTCTGTGAAATGCCTCTGGAAATTGAATACTTCATGGACCCATATCTGATTATCAAAAAGTATGCTGGGTGTCCCTTGAATCCATCCAAGTCTAAGCTTCCAGATCTATGTCTCTCTACTGTCTATAAACATGTCACAGGTGAAGAGCTTACAAATGCACATAATTCTTTGGAAGATTGTAGAGTCCAGGCTAAAGTAATAGCCGGTGATGACTTTTCAAAGTACAAGGATATGAAGCAATCAATTTTAACAATCAAGAGTATCTGGTCCGTGAAGGAGCAGAACCGGTTGAGACAGGAGGAGGAATTGACAGTAATACCAAATGAAGCTTGGAAGCTGGGTGATGATGCAGAGGAATGGTATCCTCCTCCCAATGCACAGTATACTACATCACCTGGAGGAGGTGCAACCCCAGGTCCCACCCATGCTGTAAGAAATTCATTGGATGGCTGCACTAATGAGGTGGAGGGGTTGGCACGTTTGTTCTTGTTCTTGTTCTTGTTCTTGTTTGATGAAAGAATCCTTCAGATGATAGCAAACGAGTCCAACCGGTATGCGTTTGAAGATTGGGTGACAGAAGTTGAAGCTACTGATGCAAATGGAAGGGTAAAGAAAACAAAGATGCTCAAGCTCTGTGAAGTAACCAATCCCAACAAACAAAAGCAAGTTCTACATTCAGTCAAAGACCAATGGAACTTCACTTCTGGTTACGTCCTTGCCTGGCTTGGTATATGCATCTGCTATGGAGGTTTGGGTGGTTCAAAACAATCTCCCAATATTCTTTGGACTTGTCTTGAGGATGGTGGTGTGTACATTCCCATGGTCAGGAATACAATGAGCAAGAACAGATTTGGCTTTGTTAGATGATATATTGATTTTGGTGACAACAGAAGCCAAGTCAATCATACTGACGACCCACTCTACAAAATCCAGACCGTAATGGAGAAAATTGCTGATCGTCTTTGTCTTGGGTGGCATGCAAATATTGACCTATCTGTTGATGAGTCTATGATTGTTTACAAAGGAAGATCCATTCGATTTGTCCAGTATCTTCCAAAGAAGCCAATCAAGSATGGTATTAAGGTGTACTGTGTGTGTGATGCTGAGACTGGGTACTTAATTGCATTTGAGATCTACACTGGTATTAGCAGTGGGTCTACATGGGATATTATTCAGTGGTTGGTACGTCAATCCAATCTTGGACAACATAATGGCCGTCGACTGTTCATGGACAACTTCTACACTACAATGAAAGTTGTGACCAAGCTATATGAAGAATACAGATGGGTATCAGCTGGAACCATTGTCCAGACAAAGAAGAGGATTAGTTCACGTACAGCAGAAGATTTCCCATTTCCAAAACCCTCAAATGGTGCAGTTGCAAAGGTGAAACCGGGATGGATGCGGTATGCCACACAGTCAATGACTRGACCAAGTAATTCCAAATATGTTGTACAGGCCACTATATGGAGGGACAAAAGGGTGGTTGGATGGTTACATACTGTTGATGTTACTGGTAAGCAAGTGGAGACACAGAGAAGATCCAGAGGGCAAATGGTGGCAAAGAAATTTGATGCTCCACAGGTACAGAAGACATATTCCACAAGGTTCAATGGTGTTGACCTCTCAGACAAGGATAGTGCAAAATATTCTACATCACTTCAAACAAACAGATGGTACTTTTGTATTTTCTTCTGGTTGCTTGATAGAGTGGTACACTCCTGCTACATGATTGCCACTAGCTTAGCATGTGACTACTAGTTTATGAAGGAATGGAAGATATACAAATCAAAACACAACGGTAGGAAAAAGTTTCAATCTCATCTTGGCATTGCATTGATGAATARAGGTATTGAAATGGACTGGAAAGCTCCATATGATGAAGGTTCTAAGTCAGAATGGATGCCTCAGACTTCAAAGAATGGAAAATATCACCCTTGCAATTGCGGGATTTGTTTCTTCTGTGTGAACAAGAAGACCAGCACCATTGCTCATGGAAAGGTAATGTCAAAGCCACATAAAGAAAGATGCAGTGACAAGTATGAAGGAGTAAAGAGGAACTATTGTGTTGTCTGTGTAGAAGAACAAGTAAAGCATAGGTATCCTAACTCATCAGTGAGGAGATTGAGGAAGTTGCCATCGATTAGTAGTATAAAAATGTCAAGGAATGGTTGCAGAAGTTGCAATGTTGCTGTATGTMAAGAGCATTGGAGTAACTTCAACCATCAAGTGTAGTGATGTAATATAAATGAATATATTTATATATGTTAAAATATATTCTTGTAATATTGTATAGTGATGAGAGGGGTGTGATAAGTGGAGTAGTAGTTGAGTAGTAGTATCAAAAAAAAAAATCCTAAATTTTCCAGGTGGCAACATTTGGCAACACGCGACGGGAAAAAGTTACGTAACGTTCGAAGTACTACTGGTACAGGACTTCCAAGTACTGTATGTAGGATGTGGGCTGTCGTCTGTTTTCGTACGGACATCAGATAGCACCTTTGGACGACAGGAAAGCTGTGGCTGTTGGTGTTTGTGTCATTTTTTATCGGTTTCTGTTTCACGGTTCTTAAAAACATCGAAGATGTCTGAAGAAAATTGGCTTCTGAATGCAAGACGTAGCGGTATCATTTAACGACGACGCGTACGAGGTTCCAACAAACCCTCTACTTTGTTTCAAAACTAAATTTTGCAAGGCACCGATTTCTGCTTCAACAGGGAGCTTGTATTCAGACAAACTAGACAGTTGAAGAAACTCAGATACACCATGGCATCCGAAGAGAGCAAAGAAATCCCAACGAAAAAAATGGGTGATTTAAAAATCGACGCCGGAGGTATGTGGATTGTGATCCTGGAGTCTACTATTCATCTTTCTCCATTTCGGTGCGTTGCACAATTATCTCACAGTTCTCTGGTTTCAAAATAAAGGCAAGAGCAAATCAGGCGGGGGCGGCAAGAAAAAGGAAGCCAAACCCCAACGTGAATGGACGCCGGAAATGCAGGCAGACTACGACCGAATTTTGTCCGTAGGCGAGGAATGCCAAAATCCAGACGAACTTAGAGGCCTGATCTTGGCAAAGGGCCGTGGATCTGAGCACCCGACAGGGTTCAACTTGTACGACGGATTCGAACCAAGCGGTCGTATGCACATTGCACAAGGTGTCTTCAAGGCTATGAATGTTAACAAATGTACTTTTCCTGGAACGAATTCTACCTTCATTTTTTGGGTAGCTGATTGGTTTGCCCTGATGAACGACAAAATGGGAGGGGATTTAGACAAAATCAAAACAGTTGGAAAATATTTGCTCGAGGTTTGGAAAGCAGCTGGAATGGATTTGTCCAACGTCAAATTTAAGTGGTGTTCGGAAGAATTTACAACCCATGCAGACAAGTACTGGCCAAATATGCTTGATATTGCCCGACGCTTTAACGTCACCAGAATCAAAAAGTGCTGTCAAATTATGGGTCGGATGGAGGGCAGTTTAACTTCGGCACAAGTATTGTACCCTCTCATGCAATGTACTGATATCTTCTTCTTAAAGGCTGACATCTGTCAATTGGGTGTCGATCAGCGAAAGGTTAACATGCTTGCACGTGATTACTGCGTTGCTGCCAAAATAAAGAACAAACCCATTATTTTGAGTCATCACATGCTCTTTGGACTCAAGGCTGGCCAGGAAAAGATGTCGAAATCAGATCCTGATTCGGCTGTTTTTATGGAGGATACTGCCGAGGATGTTGAGCGAAAGATTATGAGTGCGTACTGTCCGACAACGGAAGACGAGAAGACCGAGACCGACACAGGCGGCGAGGAAGATGCCGGCAAGGCCTCCATGCAATTGAAAGAAATTAAGATTAAAAATCCATGCTTGGATTATATTGAAAACATCATTTTCAGCCCTCCTGGTGCTACATTTACAGCCGGTGGAACGAATTACACCGACTTCGAAACGGTGCGTGATAAGTTCCTCGCAGGGGACATATCCGAGGAAGAATTGAAACGAGGATTGATTGATGAGTTGAACAAACTACTTGAGCCAGTTCGACATCACTTCACGACAGATGAAAATGCAAAGGATCTTTTGAGCAAAGTTCGACAGTACAAAAAAGAAGCTCCACCCAAGGTAACCAATGTAAGACGATTGAATTTAGTCGAGCTCTCAAAGGTTCCAGCAGGTAGCCATTTGGTTTTCGCACCTATGCCTACTGCGACTCCCACGCTGCAAGAAGCTATCGACGTCTTGACCTTGCTTCGACGAGCAGAAGAAGGTCAACCATGTGTCTTGATGCTACCAGACTGGTCCGCCCGGGTGACAAATGCATGCGATGGTGATACCAAGAGTATCACCGCTTATTTCACTATTCTTGCCACCGCTCTCAAGGCTCTGTGTGCCGAAACGATGAGCAAGGTTCAAATAATTTTGCAAAGTGAAGCTATTCTGTCCGATCCTTCCAACTATTGGATAAGTGTGATTAATGCCGGACGTCATTTCACCTTGAAGGACGTCATGGGTGAAATGAGTGATTCAGACCCTGTCGGTTGGGTGATCGCAAGGCTTATGTTGGTTGGCGATGTTGCTGGTGTAGAACCGAAATCAGTAGCACTTTTGGAAGGTGGAAATAACATTCACGCGGATGGTGCGTCTATCGGATCGAAGATGATCACCGAATTCTTTCAAGAAAAGCTTGTTTCTCTTGTTCAACCTAGCGTAACTACAGGAGCAGGGCCAAACATGCTTCTCCAAAGACGTGAATTGGAAGCTCACAAGACTGAAAACGACGAGTACTACTTGTTGGACGATCCGAAGGTAAGCTAAGGGGGATAAATTCACTATATTTTGCAGAAGTGGGCCGTTCGTGCTACGAGTCGAGAACTCATTGTCTCATTTGCCTTCTTCTGCTTGCATTTTTTTAGGTCAATGGAAAATCCAAGATGAAGAAAGCATTTTGCGAGCCCAAAAATATTGAATTTTGTCCTCCTATCAATGTTGCTGCTGCGTTTGCATTTGGTCTTGAACCGGACAGTAACGGCGAGATGATCATTTCTCGAACCCCCGAAAACGGGGGCGATGCAGTGTTTAAGAATCGTTCTGAGCTGGAAGCTGCGTTTGCAGACGAGTCCCTACATCCCGGAGATTTGAAAGCGTTTGCCAGCTCGACCATGGTTGCTACGTTGACTAAGTTGTCGACAGCTATCAAGGCTGATGGTGATTCGGCGAAAGCAGGAAAAACACTGAAAGCTATGGCAAAGAAACTCGCCAAACAGAAGAAAAAGTAACAATTTTATCGATTGTTTGGTATCATTATTTGTTGGTGGCTCAAACGAAATCCCGCGTATTGGACGGGGTTTTAGTTTCTGTTTCAATCTTTAATTTCATAAATAGATCTTTTGGAAACTGTTCAAATGGTGTGGTGGAGCTCAAATATCCTCTTCAAAAGTACGAGTATGTATTATGTTTTATTTTTGTATTTGTTAGAATCACAAACCAAGACGTTAGTCGCTGTCAGTTGATCTTTTTTGTGAACGAAACTTGGACTAAATTTGTGAGCTTCCTTTGCTTCAAAATACCAAGTGTCCAGTTTGTACCTCCAGAGTTGGATTACTAAGCTAAATAGTACATGGTCAACTTTGATACTTCTCTTTGGGTTGCATAAACCAAATACGATTGTATATCATAGGAGCAGTGGTGTTACTTCACAGTAGTGATACATATTTAAAGGAGTGCATTATGATGGCATTGCATCTCTTAAAGATTATCTACTCAAATGGAACATTTTGTAGCATCATGCCAAGTTCAAATGACTCAGTGAGCCAAAAGTTCCACAAGTTGCATACACCAATAGCCCAACAGATCAATCTCTTCTTATTTGGCTATTCTTTGTCGATGGATAACAAGAATATTTATTTTTTGTCCTTGGTGGTCATTGTGCAAATCAGTTTTGATCAGATAGTGCTACGTCATTTGTCTTTGGTTATTCAATTTCAGCTTTCTTGAAACAGATAAAGTTTTGGTAAGGAGAGAAGGGCCAAGAATTCTTGGCATTCATTCACTAGTACTAGTAGTATGCCATTCTATCATGCAAAAAATGTCTTAATTGTCTTCTAAGTTTTCCCAGATTCATTACTCTGCACAAATTCTCTTGATCTACTTTTTGCATCTCCTCCTTTTTTCCAGCAGTGGATCAAAATGGGCCTCCTCTCCTGATGCACAAGAGAAGTAAGTTGGCAATCAGTACAACAGGAGGGCATAAAAAGAGATTTGAGCATCTAGATGATAGTGGGGATGTAAAAGCACCAGCAGTTAGTGTTTCTTTGAAACCTACCACTAGCACTGTATTAACATGTGATTTGATCACTAGGGCCTCATCTAAAAACAGTATTGACATCAAGGAGGCAATAGGAAGGGATCAATCTCCATCAACTGTTCAAGAACCTCAAGTAGCACTATTACTGGGAGATAGTAGTAGGGGATGATTCTTTGCTTTTGTTTTGTAACAGTTAGCATCATAATACTGTGACTGTAGTGAGAAAGGAAAGATTTGTAACAGCCACACCAATAGAACTCTGGTGAAAAGAAAAAAAAATTAATATCATTTTTAGCCTTTTGAACTAGAAGAGACACTTTTTTGGAAGCCACCAGAGCCATTGCTTCTCAGCAGAAAAGGGTGATTTGAGTCATTCTTAGGGGCAACACTCCTAGAGGAGCATGACTGGTGTACTAATGCAAATATATTACTTGCTAGATTTATTTGACGAAGAAGTTGGGCAGTTTGGTTTGGAAGATGTTGTTCTTGGAAGGATAATCAGAGGAGGCCATACTACAGAGAAGCTGCTGATATGGAGGCTCACTGATACAAAGGCTTACTGATACAGAAGATGCTGATACAAGTTGCTGATACAGAGGATGCTGCTGATATGGAGGAGCTGCTCATACAGAGGACACTCTCTGATACAGAGGACACTCCCTGACACACCAGAGGATGCTGGCTGATAGTAACAAGGAAGATACTGATATGAGTTGGCTGAGGATACAAGTCCTCACTGATACGGAAGATGCTGATACATAGGATGCTCTCTGATATGGAGGAGTCACTGATAATGAGGATGCTGATATGGAGGACACTCCCTGATACAAGCCACTGATACTATGAGCCACTGATACAAGGATGCTGATAGTATGGAAGATACTCCTGACAAGAAAGAGGATGCTGATACAAGCCGCTGATTCCACAGCTGCTGAAATGGAGGACGCTCAAGAATGCTGATACAAGGCACTGATATGAAGGACGATCCCTGATAGTATGGAGGATGCTGATACAGAGGAGGAACTGCTGATCAGAGTCTCTGGTACACCAGAGAACACTGATACAGAGGAGCAGCKGCTGTTTACTAGTAGCCTCTATATATTCTGTTATAAAAATACTGTCTCTGTTTTTGTCAATGGAAATTCTTGCCATGCGCTTGATAATGCAAGTTATTCTGCTCAACTGACTTGTTTGCGGATTTTTGATTTTTGATTTTCTGCTATCACCACAGCAGTACCTATGGTTGATGCCAGTAGTACTACTAGTAGTAGTAGGAATCAACACCTGCGGTACATGTTTTCCTAATGTTGCATTTTTAGTTGCACAATAATATCGAATATCAAATAATGACTGTTGTTCACATAATGACTAAACTATTATGACCCTAGACTAACAGAACAATTATGACTAATAATCACCCATATGCCCAACTCGTCCGAACTGTACTCACTGTACTTCGTACCACCGTAGACTCTAACGATACGACTCAATTTTTTGACCTTCCACCCCTACCTTCCGTAATTTCCGTTGCGGTTGTACCGGTACCGTAAGGTTCGAATGGGAACGGCGAACATGAAACTCTGACTTCAATGTGCAGCAACAGGAAGCTGATTGTATTGTCTTGAAACGTAGGACATCGCTCTCAGACATGAGAGAAATCACAACAATACAATTATCATGTACAGCGCTAATAATTTCGAGGACGAGCCTGGTTTAGAAGGCATCGATAAGTTCGAGGATATCCCTGTCCCGTCGGAAAAAGTCAGATTTGATGGACTTGATGAGGCAGCGGCCAAAGCGGAGCGTCGGCGCAAACGTCGTCGTCGCCGGAACCAACGAACTGGAATGATTGCCGCGTGCATTATTCTCGTTTGTATTTTGATTGGTGTTATAATTTCCGCGACCGTGGTGGAGGAAACAGAACATATGCTGTATCAAGATGCGTATGTGCCCGAAACAGAAATGCCTTCAACAAGTCCGACCACTGCAAAACCCACAATGCACACGACGCCCTCACCGACGGTTGCGAGAAAGCCCACATTTTCCGTTAAGACGCCATCGCCAACCATCCGTCACACGCCGTCGCCAAACCTTGACTTGCAAACAGACTCCCCTACCGAAACGCCGGGTCCCACGTCCATCATGACCGACGTGTATACTTTCGAGCCAGTTGGGGACACTTACATGTATTTAGACGGTAATCACAAAGTTCAGGCATATGGCCACGAGGATTCGCTCTGGGTGCAACGCGGGAACAAAGAGTCAACATTACCCGGTCACGAAGTAACAATTCCAACCATCGTGGGCCTCTTAGAATTCGACACCACCCAAGAAACTCCCACCAACATGGCTCTGCCGAAACGATCACGGTGGCCTGCCGAAGCTGAAAACAATGTGGTAGTGACGCTTCGACTCCACCATGTAGCCAAGAGTGATTCGGACGAACTTGCGGTGGAAGATATACTACCAGTAAACATCGAAGTGTATAGACTTCCCAATAATCACGATTGGGTAGTTGAATCTTTGACAGGGGATGACTTTCAGAATTCTCCGAAAGCAGCCAGGGAGGGAATTTTGGTTGCCCAGCATGTTATTGAGGCAACCGATACCTTAGTAGATATCAATGTGGAGTCGGCGATATTCTTGCCCGAAGACATCAATGCACGGATGTACAAAGACGATCAAGTACTCCTGCTGCTGAAGGTGTACTGGGAAGAAGCCCCTAACGAGGGCGATTCATTTGAAACACGCGAGTCAGATGGTCGGTCACCGCAGCTTATTTTCTCAAACATGATGTAGGAAAGCAGTGTTCAAATCCACTCTTTCTTTGCAAAGAAAAACGAATAATTACACGTCACATTGTAACCCGGCACAATCAAGGAGGTGTAGATTGACTGGATTGTAATTTTCAAAACTGTACAATATTTGCGCAAGGGCTCTACGAATTAGGGACAGTAGATGCAAAAGGAAAATAGCATTCCATAAGCAATATAAGTCTCCGTACGTTCTTTTAGGCGTGCTCCTTCAAGGGTATTTAGTGTGTGTTGTGTGTTCAAGAGGAGAGAATATAACACTTCTATTCGACGTAGCGATATATTATGCCAGGTGAAAACGACAGAAATTGTGTCATAATGGGTCCATGTCCATAAGAATGGCACTTAAATATCCCTCATTATCTTCCGGATTGATGTCATCCGCTAAGCCTTCGTTTGTTGCTTGTTGCGTTGATTCCTTTTGTTGCTGCTGTTGTTTTCTCTCAACGTCGTCATACGATTTGATTACTGAGAACACGTCCACACCGTTCCCTTCATCATCTTTTGGATGGGGAGGATTGAGCCAAAACGAACCAGGCATTGCAATATCGTCCATATAAATGGACTCCCAGTAACAATCCAGACCCTCGGTAGAATCGCTATACACACCAATGTTCATGACGCCATCAGCTACAACAAACAAGAAAGTCTTGATTAGCTCGAAGTTGATGCGATGAGTAGGAAATACATAAAATTCAGCTGACTTTTTGCAACAGATAGTTTTCTTGTTCATTGAAACTATGGAATGAAACCATATCGAGTCAATCATCATTATCCATCATCACAAACCAACCTACTGATCGGCGCAATGCATTACTCACCAAGATCATTTTCTGTTAGGCACAAGACGCGCGTTCCCGCAAATCGTGCCGCTCGGCATTTGTCCTCAGTATCACACAGGATGACACAGTGTGCAGGCGCAGGGGATCGTTCCGGATCTGGTGCCTTTTGACCGAAACCAGACGATCCGCCAAAGCCTTTAGGACTGATCTCGATCGAATGAATGGTGTTCCACAAATCACGGGGATTGGGCGGTGGAGCTGTCTCGGTCGAGTAAACAATGTCGGCTTCCCGGGGCAAATTTTCTGTGCCACCGTGATCGTCAAGAATCGCAAGGACTGCCGTCTCGTCACGCTTGCATTCCTCGATCAGGTCTTCTACACCTGGCAAAAATGCCATTGTGTCCTGGTTCTTCGTTTCTTTCGATTTTGGATAAAAAATGCTGTTGGTGCCATAGAAAATCAGTGCTTCTACCTGGTCGACGTTGCGCACCATTCGACATTGCACAAAAGGACTTCTCACGACACAGTTCTGTCTGCGACATCTTACATGTCGAAGAATTTCGTTTGAAAATGCGTCTGCTGCGTTGACTTTCAAGCAGACGAAGACGACAACAAGAAAAACGGTGACACGCACCGAGGAGAGAGCAGCTGCCATACCCTGATACAACTTCTTACAGTACTACTCTTAGAAAAGTTCTTTCGCTCTCTATTTGATGGACAACAAATACAACTATTGCATTTTCATGTTCAAATGCCCCAGATATCGTTCCGCAGCAGTAAGGTGTCTGCTGGTAAAGTAAATACAGTCGGCGTCTCGGTTATTCCGTTTTCTTGTTTCTGCATTCGATTTCCATGTTCTATTTGTCCCATTGTTCATTTTAGGGGGCAATAGTACGTAGCGTTCTCGGGAGTACCGGTACGTACCGTACAGGTCTACTACTAATTGTAGTTGTCCCTAACTGCTCTTAGTAGCCTGAATAATTGGACCCTTGTCTTTCCTTCTCCCGCCACTGCTTGACTGTGATGCAACGGGGACGTTGGGAAATGACTCATAACCAGATACTTTGAGCTACTGGACGTACGGCGCAGCTACTGTGTCACGTGCCTACTCATAACCGGATACTTTAAGCTACTGGACCTACGGCCCAGTTACTGAGTCAAGTGCCTAATGAAATATAAGCCGATAAAGCGGTAATTGAAGTAGCGTACAAATCTCTTAAGTAGCTTAAAAGTAGCTTTTAAGCTACTTTAAAGTCGCTTAAGAGCTACTTTTAAGCTACTTCAAAGTAGCTTTAAAGCTACTTTTAAGCTACTTAAAATCTGCTTTAAAGTAGCTTAAAAGCTACTTTTAAGCGACTTAAAAGTAGCTTAAAAGCTACTTTTAAGCTACTTTAAAGTAGCCGTTGGATTACGAATTGTATTTATATATATATCAATTAACGAATAATGATAACTGAATATATATATTCATTAACGGTTAATGATAATTGAATATTATCTGGTACGAGACAATTCTAACACAGGATATCATACGTACGTACCGGTACGTAGTGGGTGCGGAGCAATACCAATACAGATACAGTCCAGTACGTACGGTACGACTGTACGAAGTACTAGTGATACAACTACTGGTACTACTAGTACTAGGTGAAAAATTGAAATGGTTTGAGAAAAAGAAGTAGTAGTAATTTAGCAGAAGTAGATCTAGTACTGAAATTACAACAACTACTAGTATTACTTTTCTGCTACTACTTCTGTTTTTCATATAGTAGTACTAGTACTACTAGTAGTACAACTATGTGCAAGAAAATTGAAATACTAGTTTGAGAAAAAGGAATACTAGTAGTTTAGCAGAAGTAGATCCAGTACTGAAATTACAACAACTACTAGTCTTATACTGATTATATAGTACTAGTAGTAACAAGCTCCTAGATATAGCTCTAGATGATATAGCTCTGATACACCAAGAAGCAATACACCAAACAATACACCAAACAATACAACAACAAATACAACAACCAATACAACAACCAATACAATAACCAATATACCAAGCAGTAACTAGTAGTATTGAGAATGTAGCTCAGGCTGTAGCTTACTAGGCTGTATCTAGATATAGCTCTAGATATAGCTCTAGATATAGCTCTAGATATAGCTCTAGATATAGCTCTAGATATTGCTGATAGTGATGCTGATATCTATTAGTACAACTGTGTGAAAAATTGAAATAGTTTGAGAGCAAGAAATACTAGTAATTTAGCAGAAGTAGATCTAGTACTGAAATTACAACAACTACTAGTATTACTTTTTCTGCTACTACTTCTGTTTTTCATATAGTAGTATTAGTAGCAGTACAACTATGTAGAGCTA